CAGCAGGAAATGCACAAGCAACAACTAACGGTGACAGTTCACGAACTGCATCAGCTCTGATTTATTAGACACCAAGACAGCCAAGAAGAGCGTGGCTTGTACGAAAGGTAATTTGTAGGCACTAATTAGTGACAAATACTGATAAATAGACTCCAGGAAAACCATTTCCTATTACAAAACACTGACAGGGGAAACCATAAACATAATTTAATGGGATTACATAACCTCTGTTGCCTTTTGTGTGTTAGTTCTTTTCTTTATCTTACCTTTTTTATGGGCTCAAACCACGACTAATCAAACCCCAGGTGCATCATACTTCACTTGTGCACCATATTTGAAGATGCATAAAAGATTTTTATGTTGTGGGGGAAAAAAATCAAACCTATTCATGCCATTAAAAGGATCTTCTGAAAAGTAAAGAGAGCTTTGTACTAGATTAAAATCCTGGTAAGCAAAATACTCATGAAATGCATTAGAAACACGGATGTAGTTAATTTTGCCCCTTTACACTATAATTCTGCAGAGTAGTGGAAAGCATTTCATAAGGGTCTTTTGACTCAGTACTTGGGGGTACTCTCTTTAAATGTGTGAATTAGCAAGATAAGTATTATATCATTCAGGCCCCCATTTCGCTTCTCATCTTCAGGATGAGCAAATGAAATACTACTGGCTTTCTTTCCTAGGCAATGAGGAAGATGCATTTTTGTAAGTGAAGAGGAGAAGAAAGGATCAAGAATGACTTTGTGTGCAGAAGACATAAAATAAAAACAGTGTGTGGCCCTCCTGTTCACACTGGTTGGGTGCAACATCAGGCCTAAGCTTGTGACAGGGCACCTGTGTGATGACCCACCTCAACCAGAGGGGTCGTCATGCTACAAGTTTGCAAGCCACAAGCTGGGACTTATCAGAGATGCTTCTCTTCTGCATTTGAATTTGTACTTACAGTTCAAACTGCCTCCTTATTTTAAAAAAATTGCTTTTATATGTATTTATTATTTACATCTAATCACTAGACATCTTCACAGTGTACAACTTTTTTTGTAGAATGTATACAGTTGGTGGGAAGGTAAATTAGTACCCCCTCTATGGAGATTCTTCAGAAACCCACAAACAGAACTACCAGACAACCCAGTAATCACACTCTAAGGTATTTACCCAAAGGATTGAAAAACCCTCTGTCAGAAAAACACTTTCACATCCATGTTTATTGCAGCACTATTTTCAGTTGCTAGGACATGGAATCAACCTAAGTGTCCAAAAATAGACAAGTGGATTGAAAGAAATGTGGCATATGTACTCTGTGGAATACTACTTAGCCATAAAAAACTATGAGACTTTAACATTTCATACAAGTAGATGAATATGGAAGATTTAATGATAAGCAAAGCAAGTCAGACTATGAAAGACAGACTATGGATATAGCAAGTGTCTGCTCTCTACAGCAGACACTGAAAGACTGGCAGGAATAGTATCAGGGAGGGCAACTATAGACACTAGAGATCGTAAGGACAGGAGTGATGGGGGTGGGTAATAGGGTGAGGGATAGGGAAAAAACAAACAATGCATTTAACAGGCCTCCCTGTGGACCCCGGCACATACACCCAACTGCCTGCCTCACATCATCAAGTGAATGGCAAGGGCAATGTCAGAAGTGCCAACTTCCAGACTCCCAGAGCAATAGCAGATGAGAACCACTGTCGTTGGAACTCCTTCTCCTGGAATGCACATACCCTTCACAAAACACACGTGCCCCTATCCTGGCACGATGAATTCAGACAGCTCGAGGAAGGCTGCGTGGATTGAGTGCTAAGAGCTGAGGCATGATGAAGAGGAGGGCATGTCAGATACACAGACACCAGAGCGCCCCACTCGGCACTCACTGGTTACAGCTGGTCCTCGTCACTTGCGGATTCACTATTTGCAAATTCACCTACTGGCTGAAAGTACGGGTAACCCCGAAACCAATGTGCAGAGTGCTTTCATGGTCGCTGCTGGAAATGCAGAGCTGTGAAACCGTGGGATCGCTTGCGTCACTCCCAAGTCCCCAGTTGAGGTCAAATGTGATCACGGAGTGAGGACAGGGGCATCAGAGTGCACTGCAGCCAACACACACCCCCTCCTCTCTCCTGCACCAGCGAAGTTCCCCCCAGAGACTACAACCCTCTGCCACACCCCAGGCCTTTTATCCATTCTCCTTGGCAGTGATTGGTTTACAGGAGGGCACATGACATGACTCTGACCAGTGAGGTGTGAGAAGCCTACAGGGCACTGTGGGAAATGCCTCCTTGAGCAGAGACGTCTGGAAGTGACGCAGCCTCCTCCCGCGTGTTGTCAGGAGGAAGTGACAACAGGAAGTAACCCCAGAACCCTGAGTCGGCAGGGCAAGGGCCAGGCTGACGCTGGAGCTGGAAGGACCAGAAGACGAGGAGCCCAGGGCCTGTCTGCCTGCCTACCTGTACTCGGTCCTTGCGGTTCCAGGCAGGAGTTCGTCCCCGACTCATGCGTTAGTTACTGGCCACCGGAAGCCGCAGAATTGATGCAGGACCTGAGCCCAGATATGGCCCCTCTGAGCACCGGCGCAGACACTGGCAGGTCCGAGTGCCCCTCCCCGGCCCTCGCCAGCAGAGTCACTCTCAGCCCCCACTCTAAGGAGGCTTCCCTAAATCGGTTTTCCAGGTCTGATCAGGATTCTTTGCACTCGGCTACATTTCTTTTTACCAGTTCTTCTCCACCAGGTAGGTCTAGGTTCCGTGGTTGGACCAAGCCTGGTATGTGCTATTTCTTCATCTCTCCCTTGCCCAGTGCTCACCCCAACTCTGTCCAGCTCTCCAGGCCTCCCAGAAGTGTGGGGCCAGGGTCAGAGGGTCTCTGTGCATCCTCCCCCATCTCCTCCTGAACACACACCTCTGTAGTAAACTCTGAAGGTCTTGGTGCTGAAAGCCCTCGAGCTCTGAGCTGTGTCCACGTGGTCACAGAGATGCGGGAAAGTCCCTGTCTCACTGCAGAGAGACCACAATGAGTCTGAGGCTAAAACTCAGGCCTGGCTCAGGGTCAGCCATGGTCGGTGGGAGATTCTGGGCAGGACTCTGAGGACAGCGCAGATCAGAGAGAGCCCCTGACTCCGGGGAGGCTGACTGAGCAGGAGACAGGCTCATGCAGAGTATTGCAAATGCAGCCATTGGTAGAACAGTGAGGTGCTGCTGCTCACCTGGGCATGAAGTGCCCAAGACGTCTTCTTCCCAACAGGACCCACTGGCCCCCACTCACCTCACCACACCCCCACTAGATGGCATGAATGCAGAGCAGTGTGTGGAATCTGCTTGCAGGGCTGCCTGTATGGTCAAAACAAGACATCCTGACCCTTTTTCTCCAACAGGAAAAAAACCCTGTCAGATATCATTTAACAAGATTTGGTTCTACCTTTAAAGATCAATGTTACCAAAATGTTGTTCCCCCTCAAGACTCTGCCCACCACCAAGGCTCGAGATTATTACACAGTATAACATTCGTGATATGTTTATTCATGAGCTGTTTCCACTTTAGCTTTTTATCCCATGACATTGGGAGCTTTAAAAAGCACCACCAACGCTTATAAGCTTAGGAAAATATCCAAGCACTTCATGTTCATCAAACAGTGCCCAGAGGGGACTGAGAGTCGTCTGGTGAGAGCCCAGCAGACGGGGCTGCCCAACTCCCACCCAGCTCTGACTGTGCTCCCTGGGCCTGCAGAGAGCAGCTCTGCTAATTAGGTGCCCCTGCACAGAGTGGGGCCACAGCTCAGGCGTTGGGTTTGCTCAGAAATTAGTCACATAAAAGAAAATCATTTTGGCAGGATAAGCATATTCACAGGGGAGAAAGGGAGAAAGATTTGCAGGGTTCGTGTTTTTTAACTTCTTTTGAAACAACATAAAATTTTATTTTAGCAAAGCAACTTCTGTGAAAGAATGCGGTGAATTTTGAATATAAGGTGTAAAAATCAGTAGCTGAGCGTGTTTAATCTTTGAGATTCCGGGGAAAAAGAAAAAATAAGTGCAAATGGTGGCCTCCCACCATCTCCTCCAGAGTCAGATGGTAGAGGAGAGGCCCAAAGAGAGGCTCGACCTGAAAATATCTGGGACAGATAAAATTGGTTCACTGGCTGGACCTGCCCAAACTCAGAATCACCCTGAAGGTTCTAGAGGGAGACCCAAGGAGACAGAACCAAGCCGGGCGAGTGAGCCACGGAAGGCTTGGTGCACAAGCGGTGCTTTAGTGGCCCAGTCACCAGAGCCCACACCTCAGAAGGACTTGGAGACCTTTCTAGTATGGAAAGGGCTGGTTGAAATCGTGCCTATGAAATCTGGCTCTAGGAGCCCTGAGAAGTAACCTCCATGGTGAAATTACAGTGGTTCTTACTTTAAAGTGGCTCTGCTTTATGAAGACCTCTGATTACATTAAGAATAAATTAAATAATGGCATCAAATGTATCATTCTGTCATATCTTGCATAATGCCGCTAATCTAATCTCTTTATAATAGATCTCAGTTTATAACAGAATGTAATTAAGCTATATTTTTCTGCACAGTTGGCCTGGAATGAAGCTTTACAGAGGCACTGGTGAGAGTTCACTTAACTGGGTTCCTACTCGGACCAGGGAGAGGAAGAGGGTCTATTTCGTATGGCAGGGATTTAGGG